TGTGATTTAACTGTTCTACAGTGAACACTTATTCTTCTTCTTTGCATTTCACGCTTATTGCTTATCGCATATTAGCTTATTGCGTGCTATCATCTTAGTGTTATAGATGCACTTCCACAGTTACAGCTTTCGATGCCAGTACCATTTATGCATTAGCATTTATTGCGTGGACAGTACAATCATACTCTTTGCCCAGGGAAGTCCGGAACGGGAGAACCCAGCATGATCTTGCTTTGTAACTGCGCCTTTTCTGATCTAAGGGAGGCCCCACAGTGAACACTGATCCTACTTTATCAATTGCTTAAAATATATAAAATATATCAACTGAGTGACAAGTTATTAACAAAGGAGATATTTGTCTACACAAATGAGCATGTCAATCCTGTCACCAGGCATTATTTCATATAACTCATTTTAACATAGGGCTACGTATTTCGGGAAGGGTGCCAATTCAGGGAAATGCAACGAAAATTGGTCAGATTTGAAATGCTAATAACTTGACCAATAATCAACGGTTTTTGATGATTCGTGTGTCGATTGATTCACCAGTGCTATAATATTTGTGTGGTATGTCACACATTATAATTGTTAGATATTTAAACAGTTAACTGTGCTGAAGCATGGAGATATTCAAATGTCCCATACATTTTCTTCGACCGCACGGTGCTGACCCCCTTACACAGCCATCAGAATGTTGGTCCCTAACAACACAAGCCGAAGCCGCATAATTATTCAGCATTGCACGTTGGACGGGTCGACCACGAACTTGTTCGCTGCAGCGTGGACATCGTAGCATTCCTAGCACCTCAATACATACACCTCACACCAATGAAAAGCAACCAGACGCAGACGCAAATCAGTCCAGGGAAATGGAAAAGCTGCACTTACCGTCGTGAGGTCCACCGCCATGGTCCGTGGGTTATCTTTGCCAAAAACGTAACTAAAATTTCATCGAACATCCAGCTCATCGGAGTACCTGTGATCCGTCGATATCAAACAAATTTGAACATTGTAATCAGTAGAAATTGTTCAATTTATCAGTCACCCATAAAAATGTAGTGAAAACAAATCTTTACATAAAAGCTCATTGTAATTAAAATTGAACCGTCCTCAAAAAAGCAGAACTTGTGTAATAGTGCGCGATTAGCTTGTATCGTTTTGATGCGTTCGTCAAAAATACCGATAAACGATTTTGACAGAATTTACACCTACCAGAACATGCTCCGGCCGGAATCCAATTGGTATTCGTGTGAGCGCACGTCCGGTCTTCAGTGAATGCTCCTCAAAAGCGCAGTTTTAAAGCTCATCTCGCTGCGAGTTACCATGCCATCACACCCAACTAAACTTCGGGGGATTTTTATGGGGTTATGTTTATCCCGCAACATTCATGTCTTCTTTTTAGGCTATAATGGGGCGCAAATAAAAAAAAAAAATTTTTTTTGAAGAGGTAGTATCATGTTTTGAACGCTTATAACATTTTAATTGCACCATTTTATTCAGGTTGAATGTTAGATTTGTTTGTGATAAAGATGAAAGTTGGTTACTACCCAGACAACCAGAATGCACGTATATTCAAAGTTGTTTCTGTGATTAACAAACATATATACAAACAAATAAATCGTATAGAATGCAGAAAAATTACTGATACGTACAAAAGTGGAGGCCATATAGGTGCAAATTTTAATTTATTTTTAAGCGAGTTGATTTGACATTATATACGATTTAATCTGTAATAACAAATTCAATTTGAAAAGTCTTTCGATGCAATCCGATTTAATACAGTAAGATAGAAAAATTATTCACCGTATATAAGTCGGAAATTTGCATTCTATACGATTTAACTTAAACATAATGCGATGTATGTCATTCTTATATGCGATGTTGACTTCAACTATAGCAATTTACGATACTGTAACTGTCTGGGTAATGGTTAATTATTGAAAATTGATCAAAGTGTTAAGCCGTAATCAACCAATCACGTGCCCGCTCGCTATGATTATCGAGAGAACAGAGAGACGAGCTGGTACCGCTCAATACTCAATATCATTTTTGTCTGCTTTTTTCTATTCATTCACCTACAACAGCAAAATACAGAAAAAAGGAGGGGCATAGAACCACAGAAAAGAAGGGGAAGTGCAAACCAATTGGTGAATAAAAAAGTAAGAGGTTGTATCCAAGACACGACCGTAGATTTGACGTAGGATTACGAAAGGTAGTTATGATATCACAGCAAAAGTATAGTAAATATGCCCATACCTAAAGATGAAGCAAGCAATTAAATCACTTAGTAAAAAATTTATATGGTAATCGTCCAAGTTAAACTAAAATAAAGATCATTTAAACTAAAAAAAGTATAGTAAATATGAAATTGATTTCTTAACTTGTTATCAGTGAAAAATTTCGATAGGTTGAAATTCGGAAGCAATTTGAGAGTTCTTGAGGTGCTCTGCCAAGCCTAGCCAATCCTGGACGATATGTATTGGATTCAAGCTCTTGCTGTTTAGTTTACTCTTTTATTAGCCATTTGTGGCCCTTAAAAGGACCAATGGGTTAGAAGCTTGGAAGCTAGTTAAGAACACTACTGTGGAAATTTTTTCTCGATGTTTTTGGAAATGATAGCGGTGTGGAAATGAAATATGTAGGTATTAGGGAAAACACATCAATCACACATCACGGAAACGCCTTGTTTTCTGATGTCCAAATTACGCATTTACGTGCACAAAACGCACGGAATTTTTGTTTTATTCAATATCTAATAAAAAAGAACCGTGTTGTCGTGATGGTTAAGTTATGCAGACCTGTTAGGGTGTTTAACACGGATAAGGCTGGCGAAAACAGGCTGGCAAACAGGCTGCTTTTTCATGGTATACACAGTGTGATATTGAATAATAAATTGAAAATTCTATAATTCATATTAAATTTCCTATGCCGATCGAAACAAACGTTATGATGTCACTACAAGGGTGATTGAGTAAACGAAAGAAACGAATCGGGCGAAGCGGAATGACAGCCAAGTGAAAAACGAATTGCACCAATACATTCAGGCCTACAATTCCACACCTTCTATAGACCAGGTTAAGCCTTGATAGTTAGCTGCTTGCGGGTACTGACATCCGATTGATGAACTTTACAAATGTCCAAAACATACTCTTGAACAAATTTATGGTGGTCCTGAAAAGGACCGTTTTGTCGTGATGGTTGAGTAATACTGAGTTATTAGGGTGTTCAACACGGATGAGGCTGGCGAGATGTATATTGTTTGGAGCAAGGTTGACGCGCTAGGCATTGATGACCCACAGCTACTCACGAGGAAACTGATTTCCATCCATAGCGGTGCGGATTCTTCCTCATTCTATGGATCCTCATGTGAGCTCTGCAGCTCGCTGCTTGCAGGCTGTCTTTTGATGTGTACTGGAGAACAATGTTCAACGCCACACGCCGAAAGCACTGCTGCTGTGGACACCGACGAACGGTCACCACCACACACGGTGATAGAATGAGCACCGTTCAGTGATACAGGATTGAATTTGATTTTTAAATCTGTGTTAGGGAATGCGCATAGTTGGACATTTGTGTATTTTTCAATAGTGACCCATTGAAAATTTATAAAGTGTCCATTTTAGCTGATTGATAGACAAATTTCCAATCGTTTGGCTTGTTTAGAATTAAAATCCATCAATTATTGACAGAGTTATATATGGTCAAAACCTGACCTTTTTTTGTAATGCGGTCGATTTTGGTTTTTTTGAAATTGCACCAATATGTTGCCAAAAGACGTAATCATGCGCCAAAAGTTGTAAATTTTGCTGCTCAACAAGCGATTGTACACTTTACTGCTATGGGTTGATGCATATATTATGTCACGCCCTAGGGAGGGGGGGGGGAGGGGGTCTTAGTTTTTGAGACAAGCAATGCATTAGGTATAGGAAAAACGTCACGACAGGGGGAGGGGAGTAAATTTCTCCTCGATTTAGCGTGACATAATTAATGCATGGGCCCTATACAAAACAACCCAAACCATTGGCCACTTTCTACAAAAGGGTTGAGTTATGAAATTCACTTTATTCCAAAACAATATCCGAAACAACAGGCTAGAAAATCGAATAAAAATGTCGTAGTCCTACGTCAACAATGCGGTCGTCCAACTTTTTTTAATATCTAAAACATCTTTTATGGATGGACACTCTTACAATCCGTTAAAGCCAGGGACAAACAATTTATTTTCAAAATTGTGTATCTCAGAGATGTCATGGCTAATCAATATGAAATATGTTTTTGAGTATTTACCGAAAAGCTTCATGAGTTGTGAATTTTCAAAGTACATATTGTTCGGGAACATCCCAGCACTTCGACTAAAATGTTTCGGGAAAATTCACTACCTTGAATGTATCAAATTAATTTTTCGTTCAAATAACCAAAACCTGTGGGCAAAATATCATAAAATTATGAGGCCTATTTTGTCCGATAGTAAATAAAAATCCACAATACTGAGTCAATTTGGGGGAAGAAATAATATACCAACTATAGAACTTCATCACTCTACGGACAAATGCAACACACAGCTCAGCTCATACGGGTACATCTCAATCCTCGGGTGCCGGACTTGAGTGAGAAAAATTCATCAACACCCTGAACTCAACCGGCAAAAGGTTGAAATCTATATGCAATTGATTCGAGAGTGAAGAAGTTTTCGCCCGACAAACTTAGCTTGCCCCTGCCGCTCGGGTGCTGTGTCAGCTCAAAACTATGCAAAAGGCGAAGACGCAGCATTCGTTGGAAGCAGTGCACTGCGGTGGGGGCGCCGGAGGTCGCGCGGGAGCAGAGATGAAGAATATAATTTGGTAATTTATTTATTGAGACACCAACGAGAGAGCGCGAGCGAAGAATAGGTATTAGCACCGGGGAGGCCCACCTTAAACGTTCGGAAGGTGTGTGACGTTTATAGATCTCTGTATAAAAGATTGAACAAGTGCTTGTACCGGTATCAGTCAGTTCTAAGTCGTCTTCTAGAGCGAGCAATCCGCCATTAGAGCCCATCATAATGTATAGCAAATTGGTAAGTCTGTCAAGAGTCCGTCCGGAAGCAATCCAGATTTATCTTCCATCATTTCCAACGTACAGGTAGTACTATCAGCGTTAGTAGCAATCAGTTTAGCTGCTCCACAGAAGCGATTTACACCAGGAGGCCTTGAATCGCAGGCGGTAATTCTATCCCAGGATCAGAATCTTGAACCGAATGGAGCATACAACTACCGGTACGAAACCAGCAATGGAATTTCGGCCCAGCAAACCAGCTATGACGGTGCCAATGGAGCGGGAGAATATTCCTACACTGGCCCGGATGGAGTACAATATCGGGTAGTGTACAGTGCTGATACCTATGGATTCCAACCGCAGGGAGCTCACCTTCCGGTTGAGCCCCCAGTACCGGACCACGTCCTGAAGGGACTGGAAGATATTCGTCGCAGCCCACCGAAGGACCCTGAATTCAACCTTGCCTCTCTGGATGCAACGATTGCTCGACTCCGCAATACCCTTGGTTAACTAATTAATCAACCAAATAGCGAAACTCCTTGTCATATTCAGCAACCCAAAAAAAAATGAAAAAAGAATGCTTATTGTTATTTAATTCTTTGTCAATAAATTAAATCGCTTCCAACGTCTCTGATACGTGTGATGGTTTCCTGTCTGGGGGTGCGAAAATTAAAACAAAAAAGTGTAGCTCAGAAAAATTATCCCACAATTAACAATAATTCATCCGCAGTCAAACGGCCACCGGTTGTAATCTTTTATCCAGATTTGCAATCAAATACACACATACAAACACACACACACACACAAATAAAATAATGCGTATGTTGATGGTTTGCGAGCAAAAGTGATAATAATCCCAAATTTATTAACGGTTATCTCGCTTAATTGATGCGCCTGTGGTTTTCCGACCACGACGGATACAAACGATCAGAGGATTGATTTTCTCTCGCGTAATTTTCTGTTGAATTCATCTGACTGTTTGTTTGAACTTGCCTGCAAATTCGACCGAAAATTTGACTAAAATAGGTTTTTTTTTTATTTGGAGCTCGAAGATATCGATCAAGATTTTTATCATTTGTTCATGCTGATATCCATTTACTTCATTGGGTTGATTAAACTGTCCATGCCTCCCAGGTGATGAGAAGTTCTATTTTGTTGTGATAGAATTACGCATTCCCACGTTCGGTCACACACAACAGGGAAAGGGGGGGGCAAGCATCCTACCGCAGTCACTTCTATCGCTCGATTTTATCGCCCAGAATTCGGCCAACCATAATTTGTCACTTGAGCTAGTGCTACTGACTGCTGCTGGTATCTCTTTTCTACTGGATAGGAAACCTCCCCGGCGACACACTCACGCTAAGCACAATGAAGTCCCAAACCACTTCCCCACTCACTGAGGTCCTTCGAATGCACTGTGTTTGCCAACTTTAGTTCCTGCACACCAACCCTGCCCAGGTTCATATTCACTTGGGTGCAAATTTATCACAAATTTGCAAATTTGTCAGCATCCAAGAGCCAGCAAGCGTATACATTGCTCAAGCTTCTAATGGCTGGTTTATGCGCAATAGTAATTAAATCCGCCTGTTTTTCGGGGACATGCCCCACTCTCCTCCCCTTCTCCACTGCGAATACGACGACGGTAGTAACCGCCCTTTGATGGCGTACGGTAACCCACTCTTTTATTTGGTGCCAAAATCTGGAGCGTTGAAATAATACCTACAACCAAAAAGCTTCTCACCAACATTGCTAGCGGGTGCCCTTCCATGTGTGCGCAGCGGGAGCTCAAAAAAAAAGGCCGCATTTAATAAAGAGCCGGCGTAATTTATTGCAAATTTATTTTTACATGGCTCTCTGCTTTTGGTGGAATCCCTGAGCGAACCAACGGCGGGGACCTGATGCAGAGAGTTTTTGTTGAATTTGTATTGTTTTGTACGCTTGGTGAAATATTGCGGATTTTTTGTTTTGTTTTTCGCAAAGTGCCAACTCGATGCGCTCGAGTACTAATTGTTTAATAAGGGTGCATTTGTCCGAACATTTCAAGTGGCATATTAACGGCTGCTGGTTGAATAAAATAATCTACTGTATGTGAGTGCTGCTCTAGTTTGTATTCAACAATGCTTGTGATTTTTATGAGTGGACGTTGTGTTTTTTATACTGATATCGTCACGTTTGTAATCTAAAAACACGTATTGTCATTAGAGTAAAAACAGGAAAAAAAAACCACTAGCGAAAATCGTTTAACTCTCGTTCTATACGTCACCCAACCGGGGAATGTAAGATTCTATTACAGATTTGCATGAAAAGTATTCAGAATATGCAATATTTCACGACATGAACAGATTCTGTAATGTAGTCGCTGGAAGGAACTTTAAATAGTTTTGTAATTTTTTTTTATGGATTGATTTATTTGTACAGGCTTAATCGAATAAACTTTACAGAGCCAAGTTATCATTTTCGTTATACATACTTAATCCTAATCTTAAATCTAGAGTTACAGGGATTGAACCGAATACTCGCGGTCGTTTCGATGTTAGCGGAGATTTACAATTTTATGGATGGGAAGAGGGAGGAGATTTCACTTTTTTTTAAACATGAACTTATTTCTATTCAACTTGTTATCAGCTCTATAATTTTACAATTATAACAAAAACAAAAACTAAAAAAAAAAACACACAAAATACAAACTAAACACAAAGTTAATCAAACTTACAATCTAAGATTAATATTCTTCAGGAAAACATATATCAGTTCCATAAACTCCAGATCGCGTCTAGCCAAAACATCCCGAACTGGAACATTAGGTTGTCTACCTCGAGCCCGAAGGGAATCGTACAGCTCAGATCTGACTCCACAATACTCAGCACAAGACCAAATGATGTGATCTGCGTTTTTGTAACCTTGTCCACATTCACAGAGATTGCTGTCCCCCAGCCCAACACGGAACAAGTGAGAGTTTAACGAATAGTGATTGGACATGAGGCGAGACATCACACGAATGAAGTCTCGACCCACATCTAAGCCTTTGAACCAAGGACTCTTCGACACCTTAGGGATGATCGAATATAGCCTTCGTTTCACTCCATTTATTCGGCCAGCTGGCGAGCGACTGTTGACGATAAATGAAGAAAAATTTATCGTGGGCGATTTGTCGATCGTAAATATCGCCTTCCATAGCGCCCACCTTAGCAAGTGATGGGACCCATGCAAAGGTGTTAACAAAAGATCTTAAAGATAAAGCAATTAGAAGCTCTCGTATTTTCATGAGGAAATACGAGGGGTGCTTTACCGGCCTCATGGAGCGAATAGCCTCGACAGAACTGAGACTATCCGTACAAATAAAGTAGTGATCTGGTGAAAGTGAGGCGATGGTTTCTAGCGTATAATGTATTGCCGCCAGCTCTGCAACATATACGGAACAAGGAGCATGAGGCATTCTAGAGGCGCTATGAAATTCGTTATAAATACCAAAACCAGCGGACGCCTCTATTAGTGATCCATCTGTGAAGAATGATCTTGCGGAATCAACTTGGCCAAACTTTGCAGTGTATAATGACGGAACAATCATGGAACGATGATGTTCTGGGATTCCGTGAATCTCTTGCGTCATAGATAAATCAAAAGTAACTGAATTGCCTAAGTCGGAGAAGCATACACGATGAGGATTATGCTGTGAAGGACTGACATCCTGTGTTATGTACACGTAGTAAAGGGCGAACACGAAATTATTGCGACACATTCAACAGGGCATAACTTTTTTACCATTGGGTAAAAATCAACCAAATTTTGCACACTTTCTCATTGATGTGTATTGTGTACATGCTGTCAAACTCGAAGTCGTGTTTTTCGATTCAACGAAAATGGAGGTGAACCAACGCGAGTTGAGAGAACAAATTCTTTCCAAACACCTGGAATTTCCTGACCTGTCGCACCGGCAGTTGGGAAAAATGTTGAACATTCACCATTCAACCGTCTCCAGAGTGTTGAAGCGGTTTCAGGAGCGATTGACGTTGGACCACGGCAAAGGAGCTGGAAGAAAACCGGGACCGGAGAACAAAAAGACGGAGGGAAAGGTGAAGCGGATGATTAAAGCAAATCCCAACGTCTCAAGCCGTGATTTGGCTAAAAAGATCGGCATGTCGCAGAGCTACGTCCAGAATGCAAAGAAGAGAGCTGGACTACATACATACAAGGTACAGAACTTCCCAAACCGCGATGAGCGGCAACAATCGACGGCTAAAACTCGGGCACGGAAGCTCTACGAGAAGATGCTGACAAAATATGGCTGCTGTGTGATGGACGACGAAACGTATATAAAAGCCGATTTTAAGCAAATTCCGGGGTTGAAGTTTTTCACCGGCAAGAGCAAGTTCAATGTGGACGACAAATTTAAGAAGAAGAAAATGTCGAAGTTCGCCTCCAAATATCTCATTTGGCAGGCCATCTGCTCTTGCGGACTGAGGAGTGAGCCTTTCGTGACAAAGGGCACAGTAAATGGCGAGATCTACAAATATGAGTGCCTCGAGAAGCGCCGTTTGCCGTTCTTGCAGCAGCACGACGAAGCTCCGCTATTTTGGCCAGATTTGACATCATGCCACTATTCTAAAAGTGTCCTGGAGTGGTATGAGGTCAATTCTGTCCATTTTGTTCCAAAGGACATGAATACGCCAAACTGTCCGGAGCTGCGTCCGGTGGAGCAGTACTGGGCAATAATGAAGCGGGAACTTCGGAAGAGCAAGAAGACAGTCAAAGACGAGAAGGACATGTTAATAAAATGGAAAAAAAAAACTGAGAAACTGGTACCGGATGACACTGTAAAGACTTTGATGGAGGGCATCAAGCGAAAATGCCTTCAATTTTACACTCAAGGCTCCATCGATTAACTTTTTTTTTTGATTTTTGAAGTAAATATATGTATAAAACTATCCTAAAATTTTGGTTTGATTCTAAACATTATAAGAAAATTGGCATGACATTTTCGGTGTCGCAATAATTTCGTGTTCGCCCTTTACATAGTCATGAAACGGGTTTGAGGGCTGAGCTCAAGAAGCTTCTCAAAGTTTTCGATTACCAGTGGGTTCATAACTTCACAACGGGTGAGGAGCCTGAGGGAGAATTCCGAAAACGGATCCGACAGTGGCAACATGCCCACCAACACTTCAAGTTGTTTGTAGTTTGCATGCATCCTAATGCGGTCCGAAGACAACGATACTGGATACGTTCCAGTTTGATGATGTGAGTTTTAGCCGCCGCCTGGAGGAAAAACTACCGTACTCTAAAACCGATAAAATCGTTGTCCGGTACAACGTTAGAAGATCTTGCGGATGGGATCCCCACCACGTTCCGGTAATTGTACGGAGAAAATTGATCCTTTGTTGGCATTTCCGTCTCAGATACTCAATGTGGGATCTCCTGGTGCATTTGGAATTGAACCAGACCCCAAGATATTTAAAAGACATGGAATGAGTGATCGGCTTACCCAAAAGTTGAAGCTTCGGTTGTGCTGGGCTATGCTTTCTAGAAAAAACGACGAACTCAGTTTTCTCCGTGGAGAATTCGATACCTAGCTGAATAGCCCAAGTAGACAAATTGTCTAAGGTATCCTGTAAGGGTCCTTGCAGGTCGGCCT